CTGCCAGGATGGGCTGCAGGGCTTTGGGCTGAGCTGGGAGGAGGAAGAGGAGCCGTGTGTCCTGGGCACATCTCAACCGGGTGCTCAGGGACCCTCCTCCTGCTGCCTGGTCTCCTTGTTGGAAATGATATTTTTCCCATGACTGAAACACCCCTGAGCACCGTGGGCTGCTGAGAGCTGGTGTGTGTGATGTACAGAGGGATCAGGCAGGAATGGGACCAAAATGGTGTTTTTCTTCTCAGGTCGAGTCTGACATGGCCCTCGCAGCCCATGGTGGGCTGGAGTGAGGTGCTGGTGGAGACTCGACTGTCTCTGCTGTGACAAACCTTCTGCTCCATCTCTCCGAGGGTCCCTTTGCAGGGTCAGGCTCGCTGCCTGTCTTAGGGAGTGAGTGGAAATATTAATGAGTGCCAGTGGCTTTGAGTTTTGCTTGGGAACAGCTGCAGAGTGTGCTGCTCCCTCCTGGGGCAGGATCCTTTCCCCACACATTTTTTTCCTTGTTTTTTAATTTTTTTGTTTTGTTTTTTTTTCTCCTATCTTCTTCTAAGTGCCTCATGGAGGTCCAGAGCAGCTCCTCCGCCCCAGCTCTCCTTCTGCCACCCTCCTCTGTGCTCCTCATCTCAACTCTTCCCCTTCTTCCCTGCAGCCACCTCACGTCTCCATCCAGACTGACCTGCTCTGCTGCTGCTTGCCCCTACTTCAGTGGGGTAACTGGTGCCTGTCACCACTGGGTTCAGGGGGACAGTCCCTCTCCTCCTCCGGGTCCCCAAACACCACTGACACCTCAGCTCCTTCCCTCCAGCCCCCAACGTTCAGCCCCTGGGGAGGGGGATATTGGAGAGGGGTTTGGAGGGGAGAAGGGAGGGAGGGGGATAACAAGAAAGGAGGGGAATTGAGGAGGAGGAGAAGGAGGAGGAGGAGGAGGAGGAAGGAAACATCCTTATCTAGCCAGGCAAATATAATGAAGCTGCTTTAGCACTGACAGGAAAAGGATTGTTGGGAGTTTTAGGAGCTAAAAGAATCTCTTAATTGTATCTTTTTTTAGCTCTGAGGAGATAAAAGACAAAAGCCCCCAGGTCTCCCCGCATTCCCCCCATCTCACCTTTTGTATATAAGGCTCCCAGGGAGGTGTGGAGGGGCTGGGGATGCTCCTGTGAGGAGGATCCTGCTGCCTTCCCCAGGAGGGGCTGAGGGGATCTGGGGGCTTTGTGAGTGGGTTTTCACTGGGAAAACCACCAAACCAGCACCCAGGGTGCACTCCCAGGGTGCAGAGCTTTGCTGGTGCTTCTGTACCAGCACCATTTCCTCTGCTCTACCCCGCAGCAGTCAGAGCACAGATAACAAGCTGGTTTGTTCCCCAGGGCTGGCTGTAGTCACCCTGACCTTGGTGCCCATCAACCCACCACCCACAGCTCTGCCCTCCCAACAGCGAGATGCCCAGTGATTTTGGGGGATGGAGCTCCCACCCCGCTGCCCTCTGGCCTTGGGTGACTTTTGGTTTTGCTTTTTGGGCAACTCCTTCCCTTCCTGCTCTGCCCATGAACCCGCTGCTTCCCACGCTCCTCCCTGGGGAGGGACTTTGGACAAGGGCAGAGTGAGAGAACAAGGGGTGATGGCTTCAAACTGGCAGAGGGGAGATGGAGATGAGATGTGAGGAAGAAATTCTTTGGTGTGAGGGTGGTGAGACAGTGTCCCAGGTTGGGCAGAGAAGCTGTGGCTGCTCCTCCCTGGAAGTGTTCTTGGCCAGGCTGGATGAGGCTTTGAGCAACCTGGTCTAGTGGAAGGTGTCCCTGCTGATGGCAGGGGTGTTGGGACTGGATGAGCTTTAAGGTCCCTCCCAACCCGGACCAGTCTGGGATTCTATGATGTGGGGCAGGAACTGGGACCCCCATCTTGTGGGAGATGCTGCTGCTGCTGCCCCCGAGCTGGGGCTGAGCCAGTCCTGCCCCAACACTCCCAGCACACGCTGCTGTGGCAGAAATCAGCCCAGCACTGTATGAACCCTCTGCTGAGATGCTGGTTCAGCAAGAAATGGGTCATTTCCCAGCATGGCATCGCTGCAGCGCAGGGACAGCGAGCGGGAGAGCTGCGTCCCCTCCCCTCCAGCCCCTTGCTGTCACCGCGGGTGGGTTTGAGATGCTGCACTCAGCAGTCCCTCAGCACTGTGTCTACACGACTCTTCAATCCCTCCAGGGATGGGGACTCCACCACTGCCCTGGGCAACCCCTTCCAATGCCTCAGAACCCTTTCAGCAAAGAAATTCTTCCTCACATCCCATCTCAACTGCCCTGGCCACAACTGGAGCCCATTTCCTCTTGTCCTGTCCAATTCTTCCTCACACCCCATCTCAACTGCCCTGGCCACAACTGGAGCCCATTTCCTCTTGTCCTGTCCCTTGGTCCTTGGTGATACAAAGGGGGTGGGTGGGTAGGTGGGGACTTTGGGATGGAAGGTGCTCCTGAAACAGGAGGATATTGGGATCATTATTGTGTGCTCAGAGCTTGACCATTGCAGACTGTGATCTCTCCTCCTCGGCCGCGGTGTGTGAGATGGGATG